AAAAAAAAAAAAAAAAAAAACGTAAACAAATAGCTCCTTATTAATATTTATTTCAAACCCCCTGCGGATTATCCGAGAGGGCCCTGCACACAATCAGCAAGTGCCTCGTTGCTATGAACGAGGTAATAATCATAGCCATGCTAAAGGCATGGCTTGCCAAGCCAAGTATATATGCTGTTGATTCACTTTAAGGTCCGTGTTTCAGCAGTTATGGGAACACTGAGCACGCCGTACGCCGCCATATGTTTTGTCTTTTGTGCATGTGGTGACAAGTGAAGCAAGGCGCTTAGGGCCACTTGTGGTAAGAAAAGGAAAAAAAGAAATAAAGGAATGAATCTTCTGCTAAAACATGGAACACATACACCGCCATATGTTTTGTCTTTTGTGCAAGTGGTGACGAGTGAAGCAAGGCCATCGGACCACACAGAAAAAACAAAAAAACAAAATAACAAAATAACAAAAAAACATAATAACAAAAAAACATAAACTTTTCGTAGGAAATGGAAACAAAAGAAATTGAGGAATGAATCTTCTGCTAGAACATGGAACACATACGCCGCCATATGTTTTGTCTTTTGTGCTGGTGAMGAGTGGAGCAAGGCCCTTAGGGCCACTGCYMGYAGGAAATGGAAACAAAAGAATACGTAGTTGTAACTTGTAACCCATAACTGCTCGAAAGCAGACCTGACTTCAGATCCAGAACATATATTGCTGGCCTGCTCTTCTATTGTCCGAAATTGGCTGAACATCTCTTGAGATGTTGGGACCCTTGCATATGTACTGCCGGGGTCCTCTGCGAAAAAGACTATTAAAAAATGAATACACGGGACCTATTTTTTTTTTCTGTGGGGAGGTGCATAGTTGGCTACCTCAGCCAGCCCCGCACCCCCGCCCCCGCTGCCAGCCAACCCCGGCCCCGCACCCCGCTGAGCCCCGGCTCCGAACCCTGCTGAGCCCCGCCCCCGGCCCCGCGCCCGCACTACCCCTGGCTCATAAAGGTGGGGTGTAGCCCCGGGGGGGACCCGAAGTTGGGCCAAAACTGCAATATTGCAGTTTGGCCCAGGGGGTGCAGCCTGCGGCTGCGCGCCCCCCTTATTTTTTTTGTTTTTTTTTTTGGATTTTTTTTGGATTTTTTTTTTTTTTTTTTTTTTTACTTTTTTTTCCAGGGCCAGGGGTGCCGACCCCCGGCCCCCGGGATCCCCGCCGGGGCCCCGGGGCCGGGGCTTGACAACCCTGCTTGCAAGACCTTGACCTTCATACGCCCGAGGCATTCCCGCCAAAACTGATGCCTTGCAAGACCTTGACCTTCATACGCCCGGGGTATTCCCGCCAAAACTGATGCCTTGCAAGGTCAACCTTGANGGCATTCCCGCCAAAACTGATGCCTTGCAAGACCTTGACCTTCATACGCCCGGGGTATTCCCGCCAAAACTGATGCCTTGCAAGGTCAACCTTGACCTTCATATGCCCGGGGCATTCCCGCCAAAACTGATGCCTTGCAAGACCTTGACCTTCATACACCCAGGGCATTCCCGCCAAAACTGATGCAGCGAGAGCTTCCCGCCAAAACTTCCTCAAGCCTAGTGACAGGGTTATTCTACTCAACGGATACCATCAGGATTCGAACTCAGGTCTGCGTATGAACAATTTATGGGCATATCATTCAGCCACATGAGGCCGTCACTGTTATGTTTACTGTCAATGAAAGTAGATTGTCTTTCGGGACATCCGTTAAAAATTGGAAAGATACAGAGAAAATGGGAAGGGGGAAAAAGAAGAAGGAAAGGAAAACTCCTTGGTCAGTCTGATGTCAGAGGCCTCCTCATTACCAATGTGGTAAGTTATTTGGACGTGTGATAACTGTCCAACTAGGCTACCAGAGTGACCCGGGTCCACTTGCCCGGCCGAGCCAAAAAGAAAAAAAAATTAAAAAAAAAAAGTTTCTAATTAAAATTTTAATTTTAAATTTGGCAAAAGTTGTTCTATTTATTTTTCTGCCTAACATAGTTTTTTTCGGATTTTTTTGATTTTTTTTTTTTGGCTGGGACCTTCCCTGGTCCTTGCATGGCCGGGCCGCCCGGGAAAGAGGGTGACCCAGGCGGCCCGGCTGGTGGCCTAGCTGTCCAAATGATAAATATAAATAAATGCTGCGGCTGTGCGAAAAAAACACATCTTGCATACTGCCGTGTGATCACATCTGGGCCGACGGCTGGACAGCACTGCCATGAAAAAAAAGACAAGAAGAAAAGGAACCTCGCTGCACAACTCTATATGTATCTATCTGGTGCTCCTGATCGTCGGGATACATTCTAAATGTTGTTGTCCTCCAAATGCACCTGCACGAGAAAGGCGTCCATATGCATGTCGAATGTTGACGAGTGGAGCGAGGCTCCATATTTCACTGACATTATCTACTTTCTACTCTAAAACACTAATCAGTCAGACCTATCACATGCGAGATTGGAAACCAGCCCCATCCGGCAATCGGCTGGTGCTGGACTTTTTAACTTATTTCTAGACGTAATTACAGTCAGATGCATCCAAGTAGGGCCGTAATTACGGTCAGATTCATTACAGATTGTGCTAGTGTGCGTATGCTCTTACCCAAATCTGGGCGATTCCCGGCCTTGATCGTCGTAATCTCTATGGCGCAAAATAAAAAGGGCCTCGCTCCCCTACTCACCACATGCACAAACAACAAAATAGTGGCCGTGTATCTTCCCACGTTCTAGCCGAGGATTTATTCTCAGTCTGCACATTTGCTGCATAGTGGAGCGAGGCCCAAAGTCCAGGCAAGAGGGACGGCGTAGTCCCATATCGATTATTCCCGTCCTTATCGTGTACGTACGGCCTAACACTCTCAGCTTCCAGTTATTAAGAAAGTAAAGAATCTTGGAAGAAAAAAAACGCGGAAAAAAAAAAAAAAAACGAGGAAAAAAAAAAAAAAAMAAGGAAAAARCTAGGCWAMMARAGTGGCCCGGGGTCACWTGCCCGGMCCGGCCAAAAAAAAAAAAAAAAAAAAAAAAATCTAAATTTGGTGAAGAATTTCGATGTGACCGTGAGGCAAAAGTTGTTCATTTTATTTTTCTGCATAACATAGTTTTTTTTCCGGATTTTTTTTTTTTTTGCTGGGACCTTCCCTGGTCCTTGCACGGGCTGGCCACCCGGGGGACCCGGGCGGCCCGGCTGGTAGCCTAGGGAAAAAGAGAAAAAAACGAGGGGAAAAAACAAACAAACACTTAATTACGTGTTCATCTCGATCGCCTAGTTCCATGCTTTTCTAGGAAATCCTGAGCTTGCCGCCGTCGAGTCTCTTTCTCCTCTTTCTCTCTCCTCTGCGTCTCCTCCGGGTACCTTGCACTTAGCAGTCGCCGAAGCTGGGTTAATTTGATGGCACCTCTGTGCACGTTCTTCGCTCGACACGTCGCACACCTCGCTGAAACCGATGCATCTTCCAAGTACTGAAAAGAGTATAATCCCGCCGCTTGAATTGCACAACTCATGCAGAACACGTGTCCACATCTCAAGGCGATCGGCTTGTAAACGAGGTCCAGACAAACAGGGCAAGTGAGTTCTTCTACCGACACATCCACTTCAATCACAGGCTCTGCCCCAAGTGCGGACAGAGGAGGTTCAGATGCAAGTGCGGCGGCGGATGAGCGTGTGGACACTAAACCCGGTGTTTTCCCGCATACTTGATGTCGGGATCCCGCTCCTCCGCAGCCAGGTCGCAGCCCTTCTGGTCCCGATCCCGATGCTGGTCTGCATTCTAATCCAACGGCTTGCCTGCATTCCGGTTCGAGCGCAGGTTCGGATCTTGGCCCCGAGGTACGATGGAAAGGTTCGCCTCCGCCGCCGCCTCCGCCTCCGCCGCCTCCGCCGTGAGTCGTTTCCGAACGTCGATCGTTGCCATTGAACGTTCCCTTGGTCTCTTCGTTCAAGAGGAGCAGTTGGATTTCTCTGAGCAAAACAGATGTTTGGAGTCTCGACACTGCGCTCAAGAGACAAGATCGAAAGCGAGAGGCATCAGTGCAACTCCAGTAGGAGTACGCCTCGTGGTAGTACTTAGCCAACTCCGCATAGGAGCAGGAGTAGAGCCACGCACGATGAATGAGCTCCTTGGCTTCCTTAACCACACCCTCCTTGCTGCAAAGGCGAGCGTGACGCAGTCCGAACAGAACAGCGTGCACGCCATAGTGGCCCAGCTCGTCGTAAGCGCGCAGAATAATCCGGGCGCGTCTCTCCAGACGACTTTGAATTGCAGTGAACTGCTTGAAAGTCTCCGAAGGAACGGTGCCGTCGGTCGGACATCGACGGTCTGAGTTAGCCGAACAGGTGCACTGCTGGCTCATGATTGACGACAAGGAAAGATGGAGAGGGGGACAAGTAATGAAAGATGGTGAAGACGATGAAGATGATAAAGATGATGAGTGAATGTTGAAGACGATGAAGATGACGAATGATTGATGAAGATGGCCTCTGGAAAATTGAAGGTAGATAGAATTGGAGATAAGGAACAAGGAAGGTGTTTCAGGAAACTGACACACACACACACACACACACACACACACACACACACACACACACACACACACACACACACACAGAGGAAGATGAGGAAGGTGTTTCAGGAAATTGACACACACACACACACACACACACACACACACACACACACACACACACACACACTGAAAAGTTGGAGATAAGGTAGGTAGATGAAGGTGGTGGTTTTAAGATTAGGAAAATGACGAAGTTCGCGACGAGAGAGACGAAGTTGACGAAGATCACATTGAGCACCTCTCTCTCTCTCTCTCTCTCTCTCTCTCTCTCTCTCTCTCTCTCTCTCTCTCTCTCTCTCTCTCTCTCTCTCTCTCTCTCTCTC